TATAAGGTATGTCCGCATGATAAGACCACATATTGCTGAGGTTCAGAAAGGGTGGTTTACCAAAAGTCATCTAATACTGAGCTTACTGCTGAGGCAAAATCTGAGCAGGCATGTCCTGATTCACAGCTCAGTCTTGTAGCCACTATTCTACATCACTCTCTTGCAGATCACCTTTGGAGAGGAGGGAGCCTTGCTGGGCTGCAGCATCTTGCTGCTTTCCTACCATGTGGAGCAGCAAGAGCTGAGTTCAGTCAGGGCAAGATATAATGAATCACAAGCATGCATGTTTGCCTAGAACATGCAGTATGCCATGCTGGATGAGATGAAGGTCCACTTAGTCAAAAATTCTCTGCAATGTTCCAGCAGCCAAGGGCAGCTGGCAACTGACTGGTGGTCCTTCAGTACAAAGCAGTCTCAATTTGACCCAGACCTGCTGGGGTCTACAAAGTGCCCACAGATGTTGGAAAGGGTTAAGCTGGAAACCCCAGAGCCTGACACACAGCCAAGTCTGTGTTGCCTGTTACTGTTCCAAATGCTATTACAGATACAAGCTACGTTCTCCCTAGATGTCATATTTCTATGGGTTTATAAGGTTTTTTCCAGCAATAATGTCTAATACATAATATGGCACCCATTATGAGAGAATTCATTGAGAACGGCTGCCACCTCATGCATGAAACATAAAAATGGTTCAGAAAATGTGGGTGCTAGAGGAAAAAAACATTCTTGCACCCAAGTGCATTTAAATCTATTTTTCTATTCAGGCGTGCAGCCGACATTCACCTACAAGCCTCCAATGATGTGTTTTCAGGATTCAAGACAAGTTAAAAATCTGGCATATACCCGCTCATTTTTTAAAGCAGGGCAAGTTTCAGTTATTTATTATGGCAAGGCTGGACTCATGACTATTCCAGTACATTGCATATTATTAATAATACAGCAGGCCCCTATCCGCTGGTTCAGTTACCACATTTTCACTAAAACACGGTTGACCTCAGTCCAAAAGAGAAGTCGTAAAGTGCCAAAGTGAAGTTGTAAAGTGCTTCCTTTAAGTGGGAGTTCTTGATTTAATAGGGAAAGAAAAAAACGTAAGCTGAGGTTGCTAGTATGTATGGTAAGAATGATTCTTCTGTCCATGAAATTGTGAAAAAAGAAATGGATCTGTATAGTACACAGTGTTCACCATTATCTGAGGTTTCAGGTATCCGCTGGAAGGCTTGGAACGTATTCGCACAGACATGGGCTCCTGCTCTATTTGGAATCTAGTCTTTGTTTTTACAATAGTAATATCTATCCCCTTTTCTGGGATAAGGAAACACAAAGCTAGAACAATAACACAAAATAAGATAGCTAGTAAGACAATGCTGAACAAACAAGAGCAGATTAAACTGCAAGACAGGGGCAATGTAGTTGAAAGAATGGGCAGGAAAAAGGCCTCTGGTCATTGGCCAGTGAACTGCAAGCTTGCCCCAGCCTGGGTATCAACACCCAGGGAGGTTCAGGCTCTCTTGCTTATGCATCCACCTTGGGAAGCATGAATGACCACTTCCATGGGGGCACAACACCATAGGCAGGTTCCTGTGAGAGGGGGACCCAGGGCTGTAGCCCTCAAAGTCAGCCAGGTGGCCCCTTCAGTGGGAAGTGAGAAGATGTTCAACACACAGGGTGTAGGTGCTAAAGATCAGCTTCTGTTCAGCTTGTTCTACCATGTCATTCATGGTGTCATAAAAGGCTTTTAAATCTAGCTGAAAATGTAGTTTTAGTGTTCTAATGTTTTGCTGGTTTTAACATTCTTATTTTTATTGTTTTAAGACGTTATTGTTTTAAATTTCCATGTAATGCCTTAATGGCCTTTCAGCAAATAAGGTAGTATACATATGAATAATGGTGACCATCTTCATTTTACATAACTTCGTCTTCGCTGTTGCCCATTTTTTGAGTATCAGCAAATAACATTACTGAGCCTGCTGCATTCTTATTGATACGGATTGGTTCACTACCAAGAATTATCTGCTTGAAGACTTTTCATGTGCTGGTTGCACAGTAGGGTCCTCAATGTCTTCCTTATTTAAGGAAGTGGCTGATCGCTGCATCTCAGAGTCTTTGCCACAAGCTCTCCAAGCTTCCTCCAAATGGAGAAGAGAACCTTGTAAATGAATTAGGCAGGCGGCCACCTGAAAGGGACTGAAGCTTTTCACTGGGCAGTTATTCTGCTGTTTTTCCAACAAAATCAAATTCCCCTCACCTACAATGGCAGGGAGGGGGAAGAAGAGGTACTGTTTATTTGGCCTTACATTAAAATTAGGCAATATTTCTTAAAAAATAGGAACTATTTGCATTGGTTTTGAAGAAGGCTTTCAATAAGCACAGGAAATATTAACTTCTCTAGTATATCTTTTTAGTTCTGCTTCTAGCTTTCTTACGTACTTATAGCTTTAGTTATACACAACGCTTTTAAGTTACACATACAGATTCAGCCTACCAGAGTTGCTGGCACCATTGTCTTTGATGCCATTCCAATCACGACTTCATTACGACTTTGCATTTCAACCAAGCTTGGCAAAACTTGCATGGTTCTCATTTTGTTCTGCAGTGTACTTTTTCAAGGATATTAATTAAGGAAGGTACACCCTCAAATCTGTTCCATGCTGACTCAAAATGGAAACTGCTGCAGCTGATTTTTAAGATGTGGTGATGGTGGTAATGATGACGGCTAAGAAAAATAAAAGTGAGATGAGATGGCCATAGGCTAATAGGATAAAATCAGCCCAAGACGATTTAGTACTTGAGGCACCCCAACTATTTTGGGGATGGGATTCAGCACCATAGATAGCTTCTTAAACTTTCAGACCAAAACCTGGGGAGGATATGTTACCTCACTGACACTGAGGCCACACATCTTCAGCGAGTGCTGCCCCCACCCCACTTACAGTGGTGCAGGTCATGATCCTGCCCTGCATGGGCACATCTGGAAAAGTATGGGCTTCAGTCCCAAGTCTTCCTCTTCCTTTGCCCCCACAAAACTCCACACAGGGAGAAATATTGTGACTCTGGGGAAGGCGAAGTAGTACATAAAGCACCCATACTGTGCAATGACCTATGCTGCAAAGTGCATGTGTTCATCCATGTATATCTGGGGCTGGTGAGAAGAGAAGGAGCAGAAATGATATTCTGAACTTTTGCCATACCTGGCCTAGGTGTGACTGCGTCATGAGGGGCCATTGTGAAGCAAGAGAAGCTGATGCCCACTAAATGACGGGCTTTGGTCTCACAGCAACAGGAGCAATGGAGGCCATTCAGCCACATGGTCCTCTTTTCCTTCCCTTGCTGCTAGATTGCTCTCAGGCTGAGTGCTGATGGATCCCTCACCTAGCTGCTCCCTGCTCACAATCTTGTGCCCAAGTCCCTTTTCTCTTCTCTTACAATGCCAAACTTGGGAGAGTGAGCGCAGAATGGGCATTTCCATCTGCCACCAAACTCTGACTAGTGGTAGGGCTGATTCTACTAAAGGCAAGCTTGAAGAGGAATGCTGCTGAGGAGCAGACTATTAAGCACCTGGACATTAAAAGCTGCGCAGGTAAATAAAACATGTTGGAGATTAAAAATTATGTCCATATGGGAAATGGCTGTTATTAAAGGAACTAGGACCAAAAGCTGCTTTCAGGTGAACTCTTGCCTTGTCAACAGATGCATATAACTCGGGATCAGTTGGGCTAATTCACACTGGCATGTTCATTGCATGACTAAGCACAAACAACAATATAAAATAGACTGCATGTACATATTTCTCAGTCAACTCTTTGCTGCCCAATTTGAGGATTATATCTTGATATGGAATAATTAAGCTCTAGCATGGCTATGAAAATTATTTGTCATACTTGAGCAAGTATCTTTTATAAGCAGCTTTCACTTCTCTTCTATCCTATCCCAACAGATGTTACTACAGTATAACCAATCAGATCTGGCTACGTGCTGGTGTTACTTATGTCACATAAAGCCTATTTACAATTAGGACAGTACTTCCTTGACAGGGCACATGGGTAATTCTAGCTAATCAGTAGCATGGTATCATCTTTGAAGAGAAAGAAAGTCAATTACACCAGTGCTTCCTGAGTAGCCAAGGTCTCTCATCCCTTTTCCCTAAACATCACTGAAAAGAGTTCATTTTGATAGTGGAAAAATGTTTTAAAATGTTTCATTCTCAGCTCATAGACCAGGCTCCTGTTCAGAGCTTGTCAAGAAAAATGAATGAAGTCCGAAGTACCAATATTCGAGATCATGATTACCAAGAAACCTAAGAACAAGGCAACGTTTCCCACACATTCCCCCTGGGAAAGAGGCCTCACACTTTTAATGCAACTTATTATGAGAATGTTACAATTTGATCTAGGAGACAAAAAACATCCTTGCTGCATTGTTTTGCTCCTGGTTCCTCATATTCTTGATTTTATGAGAAGTTTCAGCCATATTTTTATTGCATATTACCTTGGGCAACTGTTAAGTGGAGTGTGTGATGTATAAATTTAAATAATACAACTAAGGATCAACTCAGTTCATTTGATTTGGCTCAAGCTGACCAGGTAATTTCCAATTCAGCAGTGGGAAGCATAAGTGGAATAGACAAGAAAAATATGTTTGAGAGGTTGGAATGTGATGATTTACCATACGTAGAGACAATAAACAGACAGATGTAGATCCTCCATTGTTTTTGCTTTCTCCCCTCCTTCCTGTCATGCCTTCATTTGATTTCAAACAACTTTGCTTAGAACCAAAGGTCAGCTCAGAACTGTGTTGTTCCCCGATTATTATCAGTATCATTCATTTGTTCTAGTTTAACAGTTAAGTCTTGGAATTAAGTATCCTGGGCAGAGTTGGAGTAACAAGCTATGATGATGGCTATTTTATTTTTAATTTGTCTGCTCTATTTGGTAAACAGAATTCAGGATTATGAAGAAATAACACACATGGCTTAAACTGAAAACAAGAATCATCATGGCAAGGTACTGTAAAAAAGGTGATCAATTCTCTTTTGCCTGTTGCACAGAGCTACTCAGAGCACCCCAGGACTGTGTCTCATATTGCTTGCTTTACAATGTTTATATGTTGCCAGTGGGAAAGAAAACAGATGTGATGGATTAACTGGTAATAAATCAGATGGTAGAGAAAACACACCACTCTCTACTCTCAATATTTCACTACATGCAGTGAAAGTTTGGATTTTAAGCAGTATTCTTTTTGCCTACTTTCTGTCTCCAACCTAAAATATGTATAAACTAATCCATAAATGAATTAAGCATGAATACATCCATGTATTCCTGGAAAGCCTTCTTTACAAGTGCTAATGTAAAGAAGTATGAAACTATTAATAGGAGTATACAACAGCATCATTGTCTTTAATCGAGCTTGTGCAGGACATCTTCCAAATAACTAAGCTTTTTGAGTTACTCTGTAGTCAACAGGACTAATCAAATGTAATCCAAGACTGCTACACAGAGAGCAATTTAGCTTCTATTAACTCTGTTCCTGATAGGTTTCCTAATATTACTCTCCAGTTTTGCTAATATAAGACTACCATAGCTTTGTTACCCATGAGCCCCGAGCAGAACTTGAGATTACATGCTAAGAGCTGACATTTGTGTTTCCTAGAAAAATTCTCCCTGTTTATGGAGCCATGTGTAAAGGAGATGTTTGGAGAGACTGGCAGCTACCACCTTAATCTCTCGTTCCCATATGGCCTCAGATGAAGGGCAGAGGGTTGGCAAACACCATTGTGTTGTCCTCCCATTCACTTCTCACTGCAGGACAGAGCTCCTGGAGCCTGCTTTCCTCTGCCTTTTCTGAGGGGATTCCAAGCCATGCTCATCTCCCGTTTCCATGACTTAATGGAGAGGTGCATTCTCAGCACAAGGTTTTAACTCCTATCCCAGTTTATTGCTGTGAATAGCAGCCCCATTCTGCTTGGACTATTTCAGAGCCCATCCACTTTTACTGACAGAATCAGAATTACATTTGGAAATTCAAGGCTCTGTGCCTCCTATTGAATTTAAGGAAGGTCATAATGTTTTTTTCCTCTCTTATTTATCAGATATGGATAAAATCTGCAAGCAGTTACCCCTTAGGAGGGATTTTTGCCTGTTTCAGAGGCATAGATGCAATGGCTTTTCTGCTATACACATTTATAGTTTGATTTTTTTAAAAGAACTGTCAGTAGCTTTTTTATTTTTTGGCAGAATTGGATGAAGTTTGCAGGGATAGCTGAATCTTCTGAGCAGATCTGCCAAGCTTCAGATCGATAGGTGCACCGGGGTTTTTAGAAGAGCAACCTTTACATTTTGAGGGTATCCAAAATAAGACATACTTACTTCCTTTTGTTCCTTATGGGTCATTCTTTGCAAAATGATGGCTAAGCAATTAAACTTTAAAATTGCAGAAGGATAGATGTGGCAGTTTATGTGGAAGATAAGTCATCAAATTTGGGTGTGGAGAGATTTGCTTCAACGTTCCTTCCCCATGTTCTTTGGGGGCATTTTCATGAAAATGGAAAGCATCATAGACAAGTCTCCAGGCAAGAAACATGCAAGATTTCAGAAAGATGGGCATGAAATTTGGGGAATTATTATGAATTCAATAGTTTTAAAGATTTTTCATAGTGAAGTCTGGTTGCATGGGAAGAATGTACATCTCACTATCCCAACCTTGCTTCCCACAAAGTATAGTGACTGAACTACCCCAAGATAGAAGATGAACTTGTCATTCAACCTTAATCCTGCTTTTCCCTAATCAACAATTAAGGAAAGAAGGCAAAATATCTTATATTTGAAGATGCACTGTCTGCTTTTCCAAAAGCAAATCCTCACACTGAGTCCTGTTGTGCTTTTCACCAAACCTATGTCGCCTCAGGCACCCCATAAATTTATATCAAGCCATTATAATTAGCAGTTTTGTTTTCAATCCCATTCCTAACAATTCCAAACATGGAGTCTGTGTTCCCCACAGTTCACATTTTCACTGAGCTATTCACCATAAACTCCAGATCCCCACCAGCCCAGACCTCATCATTGTATACAAGGTTAGGATTTGTGTTATCTCAATGGTCATGCTTTACACTTCAGGTTCTACCAGATGAGGCTTTTATTGTGCAGTCATCGTGCCTTAATCATGGAATTTATAGGGGTCTGAATGATGTAATTTTCTATTTGTAAAACTCCTGTTCTCCTAGCACTTGTCATTTCTTTTTACCAAGGGGGAAAATTTATTAAGAGAGACAGAATAGCTTCACAATGTCTTTTGAATGGTAGAAATAGAAACTCTCTGTCCAGAAGCACCCTTACTTAAAAATGGTAGTTTATTGCCAATTTACCTAGTTTGGGGAAGCGCTTTTGGGGCTCTTTGCAATCCATTTTCAGTAGCATCACCTGAATATGAGCTGCAGGCCTCTGAATACCAGTTGCTGGGAAACTGCAGTGGGAGACCACTGTTGTCCTCCTGTCCTGTTTTATACTCTTCCCAAGACCATCCATCAGGTCTCTATGGAAAACATCCCAGACTTGAAAAGCCTTGATCCAGCCTTGTAGGGCTCTTATGCTTGTGCACAGAAGTCATAATTGCCTAAAGGGTCCCTCACTGTGATTATTACACTCAGCATTAATGATAATCGTTCAGGTAACCAGTGTACTCTTGCACCTCACCTCAGCTTCACCTAGTACATTTGTCACTGCCTTTCCTGGGGAGGTAGCACCTTGTTGCAGTTATCCATGCTCTGATAACATTCAGAATCAGCTATTGCACTGTGCTTTGCAGGGACTGTTCTTGAAGATGGATAAGAAACTGACACTGGTTCAGAATGCAATTAGAAGGTTTCTAACTGGGAACAATCTTGCCAGTTCCTCTTAGAACTTCAATGATTTCCAGTTTGTTTCCAGTCACTACTCAGAATGCTGGCATTCACTTATGAAGTCTTTCAATATCCTGGGTCATTGCTGAATACAGCAGGTGAAGAAATAATTGCTGTAGAACAGACCCATTGCCTCCAAGAGGCAGCCTGAAAAAGTCTTGCTTATTTTTACTGTGAATGATTATGGTTAGAAGCTCTTGGACTGTTATGTTTTAGCCTAAAATGAACAGTTTGAGGCAATTCCTAAGAAACAATGTCATTCTGAGAGGAAACCAGAGGCACCTATCAAATCTCCATAGCAACAGGAACTTGGGTAGCCAAAGGACCAGAAGCTTCAGTATCAACCTGCCCAACCATTAAGTCTTTCTTGGTGGCTGTTCAGAGTGCCCCCACCTAGCTGTGAGTACTCTGGAGGGGAGTGGACACTGAGCATGGATCTTAAATAAAGAGATGAACACCTTCAGCAGAGGAGTGGGAACCAACAAGAAACCTTCACTAGAAACTCCCACCACCTGCCCATTCTCCTAGCACCTTTCTTGTTGGATTTTAATCAGAACAATGGTACTTTTTCATAACTGAAATGAATTTAAATTTAAATGAAGGTATATTGAATGAATCTTTTAAGTATTTGACTACAACACATTTTAGATGCTTGACATGGTGCCGCTGTTCTGTTTTTAGTGTTTTGTGTGCTTGTGTGCAGCTACAGCTGCCTTCCTTTTTTTATTGCTTTGCTACTATTTTGTTTTTAGCATTTTTAATTGCTTTGCTGCCATTTTGTTTTTACTATTTAAAATTGGAAGCTACCTCAGGAGTAAAGGTTGATACACTGGATATAAATAAAGCTGAAACAAAACTATTCGGTTATTTATTATTACATTGCATCTATGTTCCACCTTTCTTCCTTTTGCAAGGAACATTACAAGGTTCTCTTCTTCATTTTATCCTCACAGCAACCATCCTGTGAAGTAGGTTAGGCTGAAAATTCATGCCCAAAGTCACCTAGTGAGCTTCACGTATGGATAGGGAATAGAAACCAGATGTCCCAAGTCCCAGTGCTACACTTTAACCACTATGCCACTCTGGCTTTCCACGCGTACAGGAGTGACAATTCTTTTCTATAAATAGACGAGAATAATTACACCTTCCAGTTTCTCAATTCTCCTGCCAAGTTACATGTAGCCAAGCAGCCGGGCATTACAGCTCTCCAGAGACTTGGTAGCCTCCTGTTTTTTCTGGCTGCTGCAGGCTGCAAAAACAAGCTGGACTCGCTGAACATCAGAAAAGCCACAATAAAAGGCCAAGACTACCTTCAGAAGCTGAGCAGGAATGGCTAAGGTTATTCTGCAAGCAGCATTTCTCAGTTTGTTCTCTGAGAACAAAACATTTGTTTGTTCCATCAATTTCCTCCATGAGAGTCTAGGAACACAGCTTAAGAGTCTGCCCAAGCTTTGCATTATGTCCTCTTGACCTTCCCAACCATCCCAGATAAAAATGTGTATATAATTTCACATCTTTCTGCAGCATAGTGCAAATTTTCTGTTTAAGCATTCACAATTATGTTTAATTGTGAAAACTGAACACAGCATCTCCCTCTAACCCTACTTAAAGGATGAGTTCCAAACTACATTGTGTTTACATTTTACTAGTCTCACTTCATGTTGTTAATATGCTCCTGCAGTTTTCCAAGGGGGAGAGAGTGCTACAGGGTTCAGTTTCCTCCGTACAAGACTGCAGTGGAGATTTATGGCATATCTGTAGGACTTTGTTTACATTTACAAAGCATAAACAGGCAGCCCTACAGTAAACAGTACAACTGCTAAGCCTGCCCTCAAAGAGTCAGTGGACCCCAAGGATTCTTCAGCTCCAGCCTACTCAGTGCATCCTGCCTCTGTCTGTCTGTCTGTCTGTCTGTCTGTCTTCCTTTCCAAGGTTCAGATTGGGCCTATGCTTCCTCCCACCCATGTACCCAACTCTTATGGGTAGTGCATTCCAAAGCTAGAGCGAGATTTCAGGCTATCAGAACAGGACTCCCTCTCATTACCTTTCACTGATGAAACATTAAGCAATCATCATGGATGATAAGTCAGCGATCAACCCAGCCAAAGATAGCTTTCTAG